CACTGTGCAGCAGCCGCTTAGGCATTCCCCTGCAGGTGGTGGGCCCACGGGCGGACATTCCCATGTCCCTCGCTCGGGCTGAGCCCTGCCGAGCCCCGTGGGAAAAGGCCCGGCCACCAGGCGCTCACATTCGAGCCCCGGGCCCGGCTCCAGGGTGGGGCCCCAGTTGCGCCGTACTGTGCAACGTCACGGTCCTTGCTCTTAGTTTTTTCATAAGGGGTTTTTGAATAAACAATAAGCTATTAAACAATTAGAATAATTAAATCAGTCTGAAACTAGTGATTTCTACCAGTTCAAGGGTCATATTTATTGGAAACAGGGGAGACTGAGATGACATAATGAAGCCAGTTACAAGCAAAATTAATTTATTTACGTTGTCTACACAGGGAAAATTATTTGGATGAGAGACGTAATGCAAATGGTACATTTTTGAATCTTCTGATGAATGAATGAATGACCAAACAGCCTTTGTTATCGATGGTGGGAGATTGTTATTCTAGTTGAAAATTGAGCTAGATTCTAGATCTAAATTCTGGGGTTTAATCAGGAATATGGAGAAGGAGAGTAGCTATTGCTTGCTATAGGTTAGACTTTAAGTTGGGAACTAATAGCTAACAAATACAGTTTTCACGCACTTAGCTGTTAGCAGGAGTTAGACATTAGCTTTGGTGATTCCACATGGCCTCCTGGCCGTACGTGGAGAGAAGCACTGGTTTGGAGGCTTTTTGGGCCAGAGTCTAGCTGTGTCCAGCATTCTGGGATGGTCTCGAGCTGAGGACTCAGGACAAATTTGTCATCGCCAGATTTCAATGCGTAAAGGACAAGGGCCAAGCCTAAGCTGGATGACCAAGCTCTCTGATCCCTCAGACGGCACCGCATCAACAATCGTCACTCTTCTATAAGTGATATAACCACATGGGCTCAGGATGATTTTGGCTCACCTGTGTCAGGTACTACAATACGTAGTTACATCCATAAATGCTGCCTACAACTCTACTGTGGCAAAATGAAGACTCATGTCAACAGTGTCCAGAAGTCGACTGCTCTGGGCATCTGTATCTGGGATGGATTATCACACGGTGGAAACGTGCACTGTGGTCAGACCAATCGGTGTTTTGGGTTTTTTTTTTTTTTTGGAAGGAATGGATGCCGTGTGCTCCGGACCAAAGATGAAAAGGACCATCCAGAGTGTTACCAGCAACATGTCCCATAGCCAGGGTTTGTCATGGTCTGGGGTAGTATCAATGCCCTTAGCAAAGGTCATTCACACTTCTGTGATGGCTCCATTAATGCTGAACAGTACTCAGAGACTTTGGAGCAACATCTGCTCCCTTCAAGACCACATCTTTTCCAGGGACACCCATGCATAACAAGACCATGCAAAACCTCACACTGCCACATTACCAAGGCCTGGCTGTGGAGGAAAAGGGTGTGAGTGCTGGACTAGCCTGCCTGCAGTCCCCACCTGTCCCCAGTACAGAATGTGTGGAGCATTTTGAAACACAAGTTGTGTCAACGAAGACCCTTAAGACTTGTTTGCAAGAGGAATGGGACAAATTGACACCTGACACACTGAATCACTTGGTGTCCTCAGTCCCTAAACAGCTTTTAAGTGTTTAAAGCAGGGGTGGCCAATTCCAGTCCTCAAGGGCTGCTGTCCTGCTTGTTTTCCAACTATCCCTGCCTGACCTGCTGCTGATTACCTGGCTCAGGTGTGTTCAGCCAGTCAGAAGCTGGAAGATACCAATTCACTTGATCTTTCCTCACTCCACTTTCATCTAAGATGGAATTGACCGCCCCTGGTTTAAAGGAACAGCAGCATCACACTGTGGTAAATGCTTCACAACTTTTTTTTAAAATGTGTTGCAGCATCAGGATTGAAGTGAGGGTTTATTTTGAACAAAGAATAAAACTGATGTCACATCATACACTTTTTGTTTTCAATGTCACACAGAACACCGATGGTTTACACATCACTACTTTCAGCTTTAATTTAGATTTTACATACCATTCCAACTTTTTCTGATTTGGAGTTGTAATTGTAAATGCCATCTCAAGGCCCCCCAAAATGTAGAAATGGCGCTGTGCCAAACATGCACAGTAGCGTTCATTCCTGGTGGATCAGTCTGTGGCCCAGCACAGAGGAGAGGAGCGACTGAGACCTGCTGCCATTTACTGGGCTTTGATTCTGGCAAAGAGCCGTAGGTGCACCATGGTAGTATTAAAGAAACTGTTACTTTCTGTTTGAATCCATAATGTTTAGGCAGTGGTTTTTGGTGCCTGTAGCATACTACAGAGAGTGTGAGGAAATAAAGTGCTTTTGTTTTATTAAGTTACTGCCCTGTATTTAAACCTGTGTACTCTGCAAATAGTACAGCACAGTCTACACACAAACAGGCTGTATCATTGACCGTTACACTAGGAATACATTAGCAGTGATTAGATTAACTTTCTAAATGTCCCTGTTAAATCTTTCAGTGTTTATAGTTTTATTGTAACTTGTTAACCACGTGCTCCTACAGTGTAGTTTAGTTTAAAGTCTGGGTAAAGTAGAAGTGAATGTGTTCCGCCTTTTCCCACCACAGGAAAATGTCTTTTAAACCACCCAGCCAAATTTGAATGATGTTTAAAAAATTGCCAAGTATTGTCCCATCTATAAAGTAGGGTGAAAGGAGCATCATGTTTTGGGGCTGCCTCTGGACCTGGACAGCTGCTATCATAGAGGGGAAAATGAATTCTCTTATTTTATCAAGGCATCCTACAGAATAATGTCAGGGTGTCTGTCTACCAGCTGAAACTCAGTAATAGTTGATTGATGCAGCAGGACAGTGACCCTAAACATTAAAGGAAATCTATTACAGAATGGCTTCCAAGCAAGAACATCTTCTATTTAGAGTGACCCAGCCAGAGTCCAGACCTTGACCCAACACAGATGCTGAGGAGTGAACTCACTCAGGCTGAATGCAAGTTAGCAATGCCAGGCTAGCAGTCAAGCAGGGTGGTCTAGGAAAGCTGGTGGTGGAGCTGAGTTGAGATGCAGCATAAAAATGAGAATCATTGCGTGTGCATTCAGATCACAATGAAGAGGTCTGCTCACTGCCATAAAAACAGTGGCTTGTAAAATCCAGCTGTTCAGATTGGCCATGGCCAAGGAATGTCAGGATATTTGAGATTTGGTTTTCCTTCTCTATAAAAATGCAATTAAAGTCCTACTTGATGTTTATGCATTTCACTGGCTTGGAATGGTTCAAGTGAAAGAAGAAGTGGAACCAACCCAAGCCTACGAGAAGGTCGTGTGATTATTGGTTGAGTCGGTCTGCAGTCACTGTATTTGGGATTTTATGTCATGGCCTTAGTTTCGACATAAATCAGTCAAGGTACTAACCCTCAATAAAAGAGCATTAAGAAGGTAAGACAGGAGTGACATGAATACAACAAAACTTTACTTAGTTTGGCTTGTTTTTAAGTTTCTTTTTATTTAAAGCCCCCAGGTCTGCTCATTTTGCTTTCCAGCCATTCAATGTTTAATCTTGGGTTCCTCTAGATTAGCTCAGCCCCCTCAGATTGATAAAACCAGAGAACCTCTTCCTAAAAACGAGGGGATGAACACACACACACACACACACACACACCCACACACCTCTTGTTGCCAGTGTTGTTGCAAGTGGACAGTGCAGTAAACCTCAGCAGCATTAATTAATGTGAATGTCTTCTCCATAGAGGGTAAACAACGGTATATGTGCCAATGAAAAGAGATGTGTAACACTAAACAAAGCAGGAAACAGAATATTTTAACTGGCATAATTCAGACATAGTAACTTCTCCAGCCTTACAACAATTCTCTCTGACGTTACAGAAACAAGGCATTAACATGTAAACGCAAAGAAAATAGGCAGGTCTTTTTCACTGTAATGTGGTTAAGGTTGAGTACAGATGCTTGGTCAGTAACACACTACGGGAAGATGCTAATTGGTGTTTTAAGCAAAACAAATACCGTACTTTCCGAACTATAAGCTGCTACTTTTGTCGCTTCATGCCCACACCCTCATCATGAACAACACACGACGAAATGCATATGATGCAACTTTCAAGTTACAGGCGATCGATCTGGCTGTTGAAATATCTCATGTTACGACATGGACACCTGCGGCTATGTCCAAATTGTTTTTTCGTCTTCCCTTTAGTGGGTGCGGCTTATAGTCTGGACATTACGGTCCACTTAGGGCTTTACACTGAACTTGGATCACTGGGATCCTAGTGGTCAGTTATGACAATCGTCATTGTGGTATTTTGTGCCTGTATGGCTGCATTCAATTTCTATGAGACCCAAATCCATCCCACACCCCACCTTCCCCTGAGTTTTGAAGTGTGAACAAACCAAATCAGATGTTTTCACAGCAGATCAGGGCCACTTGTTATGTATATGCCATCCTAGATCCAATTCATATCCGATCTCGGAATATGCTATTTATGTCAGAATGGTCAGATTGGAAGCAGTTTGATTGAACCATAACACAAATAGTTGTTTTTCTTGTACATATGCAGGTCGCATTTCATTTATCTGCACATGTGATGGTTGAGCACCTCATTGGTGTTCACACGGGGGCTGGATGCATTTCACTTTAAACATGAATGTGAACCACCAATACAGAAAGATCAAATTGAGCATGTAATGTGAGTGCAGCCTGTTTGACTTATTACAGAGGCTTCTTTGACTTTGGTATACAGATGTCTTCTTATCAGCTAGTTCTCACTTCTCTATTTCAGCTATTTGATAGGAGAGGAAGGCTACTGTCTGACATCCATGCAGAGTGCCTTGGCCTATGTTGAGTCGCTGCACACAGGAGAAGCACAGCTTCCTGCAGACACGTCCACCTGAAAAAGGTAAAGGGGAGTCCATACTTGACTTGATTAAAAATTTATTGATATTGCTTTAAAGCAAGTTGAAGAACGAGACAAATGTAACTGATGAAAGCTAGACTGAAATGGCTGGTTTTCATTGATTAAAACTAAGAATTCAAATGACAATTTGACTAAATCTCAGTCGGTTTATGTGTGTTAAGACATCTTGGTCGAAAATGACTCCACGGTTCCTCACAGCAGGACTGGAGGCCAGGGCTATGCCATCTAGATCATCTTTGTGGTTAGACAGCAGATTTCTGAGGTTTTTAGGTCCAAATACAATAACTTCAGCTTTGTCAGAGTTTAGAAGTAAGAAATAGGACGTCCTGGCCTTCATTCTTTAAGGACATTATTTGAAGATTGATCATTTGAGCTGGTTCATCTGAGTTCACTGGTATCATTGGTAAATTTATGCTGTACTTCCTGATAATATTTCCTAAAGGGAGCATGTATAAAGTAAAGAGAACTGGGCCTAACACAGAGCCCTGCGGAACACAATTACTGACTTCAGTCTGCGCAGAAGATTAATCATTAACATGGACAAACTGGAATCTATCTGAAAAATAAGATTTGGATTCAGTTTGAGACAACTTTATTGTCCTTGAGGGGCAAATTGTTGTAAAGCCAGTAGCAATCACACCACAATCACAATAAACAACAAATAACATTCAACAATAAAAATCTACCACTAGTATGAAGCTACAACAAATGGTATGTAGTAACAGCTTTAATTACTGCATACTATTTGTTGTAGCTACATACTGTCAAAAGCAGCACTGAGATCTAAGAGGACAAGTATGGAGACAAGTCCTTTGTCCGAGGCTAGGAGAAGATCATTGTTGACTTTCACCAATGCAGTGTCTGTACTATGATGGACTCTAAATCCTGACTGAACATCCTCAAACAAATCATTCTTGTCACAAAACTGCTTTGCAGCAGCTTTTTCTAGGGTTTTAAAAATAAACGGGAGATTGAATATTGGTCTATAATTAGCTAGAACACCTGGGTCAGTTTTCTCTGTGGTGGATCGGGTCTTTAGAACACAGTGAAGCACAGACCACTCTTTGAGTAGTTTTTGCCAGTGATTATGAAGGGAGATGGAGGCATGGACGGTATGAGGCACGATCTAGACTGAGACTGTTGTGTTACACTGATGGATGAGTGCATCACTGAATGGCTTGTCTGGTGCCCAAGCTGATGTTTCCACACTCGGCCTGACAGGGTGTGATGACGCCGCGTGTTATAAAATGTGACATCTTCAACTGGCCCTCCCCGAAACTCCCAGTGACACAATGATTCCACTGAGCTCTACAGAGCATTCAGAGTATATCACACAGGAGGAACAGTGTCTGCTGTATACAATATTTGTACATGTATGACTTTAAGACATTTTAACACATCTTTTGGCCAAAGTCATTTCTAATAAGGCTGTTCTGTAAGTCATGCACCTTTACTTTAAGCCAGAGCTTTAGAAATCTTTTTAAAATGAGCCCTAATTTAGATTCTGCTTATTTTTGTTTCATATTTGAACAGAATATATACTGGCAGATCATAAAACCTGGACACACAAACCAGAGTAAAGACTTGTGACACAACTGAAGCAGATGCTTCCATGCTATACAGAGCATGACTGCTCACTGAATGAGGTCCAGTGAAGCATGTGCTATGGGCCATCTCGGTATCAGTCCAGCTGTGTACCCATGAGAGCACCTCAGCCTATTTTAAAATGGTCGTGTGGTTCCAGTGAATGTATTAAACATAAGCTTGTCAAAATAATAATAATAATGACCAGTGGCTGAATGTTGCTGTGGATATTTAGGTTTTTCAGAGGATGAATCCTGCTGTATTTGTTTTGATGTTCAGGATTTAAAGCAGCCCTTTGAATTTTTTTGTGTTCATGCCATCAGTATCATTTATAAGTCAGTCCACTGTGCAGACCTGCCCAGTAGGGTGTTGGGTTTTTAACCTGAAACTAGACCCTATCCAATGTGCTGTTTCCTTCAGTATGAGTAATGTTTGCTAAACACTAAAGTAGCGTGCAGTTAATGGAATTTACTGAGCCCTTTTAAACATATATACATAACTATACACATCAGTTTTTTTATTTATTAATTTTTAAATAAATACCTTCCGTAGGAACCAGTGGGCTTGGGAATTAACTAACTCGTTGGCTTTGGTCTGTTTTGTTGGACTTGTTGATGAAGCAAAACATAGCCAGACTGGTGCTTTAACAAAAGGCTAAATGCAAAATACAATTTTTTGAAAATATGTTTTCAGTAAAGTTTTCCGTTTTGTGTTGTAGGCTGCAGCAAACCCTCCCAAGTCGATTCCACATTCCCTGTTGCGCTGCAGAGAGGCAGGAGCTGCTCACCCCGTTGTGTTGTGCAGATGCATGTGACCTTGTACCAACACAGACCACCTGTACGTTTACCTGGAGGACTTTGTTTTGCTCTGTTTCCAACAGAGGACTAAACTGGTGCTGGTGAGTCATTTCTGCATGGGGCCAAACTAGGCTTCGCTGGGTCTTCAGTCTGTAAAGCATTTACTGGCACCGCATTGTTAAACTACTATAGATGACTAAGATTGGGTTTGTCTTAGAGGGGAAGTTTGGGCGTGTTGTGATTGGTTATATAAATGCTTATAAAGAAGATACCCACATATCCTTTACCAATATAGATACTGTTCCCCTTTCCTTCTGAAGACAAGTCAAACCTGTGAGAGGAGACATTTTAAAAACACACTACTGACGTTCTATATAGAGTGTGACTCAGCCAACCGTGTGTGCTCAAGCCCCACAGGGGGGTAAAACGTCCCCTGTTTCCCTATGGGACAGAGCAGTTATCAGAGATGCCATGCAGCAGTAGCAGTGACACTGAAGGAATCCGGGAATAACCGCTGTCGGGTGAGAAGTCTTGTTTGTAGCACATGTTGTCATTGTGTTTGTGTGCGACAGGATGTTTCATGTTTTGATTCGGCATACTGGACTGTGGTTGGGTTGTAGATACTGTAGAGAGTAACACTGTTGCATTTTCTTACTCTGGTCCACTTTTTAAGTGTGTGTGTGTGCGTGCGTGCGTGTGTGTGTGTGCGTGCGTGCGCCTGCAGGATAGATTGCAAGCCACAGTGACTGCAGGTATATGTGACCTGTATTGAGCCATGTGGATTTATGATAGTTTTTCTGCATCACACAGCAGTTGGTTTTTACCTCCTTCCCTGTATGCATTCATTTCCATTTTTACCTTTCCTCAGCCTAGGTTTTATACATTTCTCCCATTTCCCCACGCGCACCTTGACATCTGCAGTTGCACAATCATAGGATCGAAGCAAAAGTCCAACTCATATATTTGGAAATGAATTATGTATTGGTAGATTGAGGGGCTTAGAAAATATTATATATTATCTGTATGTTATTAAAGGGACTCATTACGTTGATGACCAGACCAGATTGGGCTTCTTTTTTCTTTGTGAGGTCCATTGAGGTTTTAAACACCTACAGACACCAGAGTGACCGAGGGTCTGGTGTTTCTGCATTTTTTTTACCCTGTTATTTGCAAATTACCGTTTACTAGAGTGACCCTTATCTAAAGCAATCTGTGATGTCTTTTTCCTTTTAGTCTTTTCAGGCAGCCATTGGTTTTGATCTTGGCATAGCATACAAATCAACTTGCATATTCTAGAAACTTTGGTTTGTATTGTTTGCTGCTGTGGTGCATTCCTCTGACTGACTCCAGCACGCAAGACCTGGAACGAGACGACGATGACAACGTCTCTTTAGACAAAAAGGGCTTATTTTTATGTGATCACCAACTTAATGTCCAGCAGGTTTAATTTCACTGAAGAACTGGTTTGTCATTTTATTGTCTGCTGTTTTCTGTTTTGTATGGGTCAGAGGTGGATTGTTGATGCTACTTGTATTTGGTCATGTTAACACCAAAAACGTGTTTTTCTGTGTAATAAAAAATGTGTGTATAATGACAGGATGCTGTGATATTTTCCAAAGTGGATTAAGCCACAACATGAATGTGAATGTTTTATTGTACATTATTAATACAGTAACAATGTTTAGAATACTGAGAAAGTGTTAAATGTTCACATACAGCACTGCTGGTTCAATCTTACGCATTGCCTTAAATTGGAAATGAAGCTGTGTTTAGTTATGACTGTAATTAGCACTGTAGCAGGACATTTCAAATGATGAACAGAAATATTGAATACTTTTGTAGAAGGTGGATTAATATTTTAGCTTCAAAATATGGATCTCTTTACCATATACTGGAAAATACAGCAGCTGGGAGAAGGAAGCCTTCAGATCTGAGAGACCTGGAGCTGCTGGCAAAAGAAGAGTAGTCCAAAACTCCAGTAGAGAGGTGGGAAAAACTCACTGATGGTTACAGGAAACGACTGTTTTGGGCTCATAAATGGTTTTTCCCTCGGTATAAAAACATTAATCCCTCTTGCCTCAGCCACTCCAGATTTTAATCAACAGCAGATGAACAATTTGGCTCCCACCTCTCAGATTTTGATCTGTTCTTCCTTCCTTATTACTATTGTTTCTGTATTCTAACAATAATCTGTTGTATAATCAGGTACAGGGTGTGGCAGAACATCTACAGATGTTTTCGTCAGGGGAGGGGAGGAGAGAAATTCAGAACATCATTTGGGGCGGCTGTGGCTCAGGAGGGTAGAGCAGGTTGTTTCCTAACCGGAGGGTTAGCAGTTTGATTCCCAGCTTGTCCAGTCAACATGTCGACGTGTCCTTGAGCAAGACACTGAACCCCCATTTGCTCCCGGTGATAACACCATGTGCTGTGTGAATCTGTGAGCGTTTCTGAGTGCAAATGGGTGAATGGCCAAGTAGTGGGAAAGTGCTTTGAGTGTGCTGTAAAGTGTACAAAAGTGCTGTACAAGTATAAGACCATTTACCATCATTGCCCCCCAGCAGCCCAAGCCTATAGCAGCATATAACTAAGGGAAGGCTCAGGGTCACCTGATCCAGCCCCAACTATAAGCTTTATCAAAAAGGAAAGTCTTAAATCCTATCTTAAAGGTAGAGAGGGTGTCTGGCTCCTGAACCGAGACTGGGAGTTGGTTCCATAGGAGAGGAGCTTAATACAGTATTGTTCAAAATAATAGCAGTACAATGTGACTAACCAGAATAATCCAGGTTTTTAGTATATTTTTTTATTGCTACATGGCAAACAAGTTACCAGTAGGTGCAGTAGATTCTCAGAAAGCAAACAAGACCCAGCATTCATGATATGCACGCTCTTAAGGCTGTGCAATTGGGCAATTAGTTGAAAGGGGTGTGTTCAAAAAAATAGCAGTGTGGCATTCAATCAGTGAGGTCATCAATTTTGTGAAATAACAGGTGTGAATCAGGTGGCCCCTATTTAAGGATGAAGCCAGCACTTGTTAAACATGCATTTGAAAGCCTGAGGAAAATGGGTCGTTCAAGACATTGTTCAGAAGAACAGCGTACTTTGATTAAAAAGTTGATTGGAGAGGGGAAAACCTATAAAGAGGTGCAAAAAATTATAGGCTGTTCAGCTAAAATGATCTCCAATGCCTTAAAATGGAGAGCAAAACCAGAGAGACGTGGAAGAAAACGGAAGACAACCATCAAAATGGATCGAAGAATAACCAGAATGGCAAAGGCCCAGCCAATGATCAGCTCCAGGATGATCAAAGACAGTCTGGAGTTACCTGTAAGTACTGTGACAGTTAGAAGACGTCTGTGTGAAGCTAATCTATTTTCAAGAATCCCCCGCAAAGTCCCTCTGTTAAAAAAAAGGCACGTGCAGAAGAGGTTACAATTTGCCAAAGAACACATCAACTGGCCTAAAGAGAAATGGAGGAACATTTTGTGGACTGATGAGAGTAAAATTGTTCTTTTTGGGTCCAAGGGCCACAGACAGTTTGTGAGATGACCCCCAAACTCTGAATTCAAGCCACAGTGAAGACAGTGAAGCATGGTGGTGCAAGCATCATGATATGGGCATGTTTCTCCTACTATGGTGTTGGGCCTATTTATCGCATACCAGGGATCATGGATCAGTTTGCATATGTCAAAATACTTGAAGAGGTCATGTTGCCTTATGCTGAAGAGGACATGCCCTTGAAATGGTTGTTTCAACAAGACAATGACCCCAAACACACTAGTAAATGAGCAAAGTCTTGGTTCCAAACCAACAAAATTAATGTTATGGAGTGGCCAGCCCAATCCCTGGACCTTAATCCAATCGAGAACTTGTGGGGTGATATCAAAAATGCTGTTTCTGAAGCAAAACCAAGAAATGTAAATGAATTGTGGAATGTTGTTAAAGAATCATGGAGTGTAATAACAGCTGAAAGGTGCCACAAGTTGGTTGACTCCATGCCACACAGATGTGAAGCAGTTATAACAAACTGTGGTCATACAACTAAATATTAGTTTAGTGATTCACAGGATTGCTAAATCCTAGAAACAAAAACGTTTGTACAACATAGTTTTGTGTTTGTACAGTCAACGGCAGACACTGCTATTTTTTTGAACACACCCCTTTCAACTAATTGCCCAATTGCACAGCCTTAAGAGCGTGCATATCATGAATGCTGGGTCTTGTTTGCCTTCTGAGAATCAACTGCACCTACTGGTAACTTGTTTGACATGTAGCAATAAAAAATATACTAAAAACCTGGATTATTCTGGTTAGTCATATTGTACTGCTATTATTTTGAACAATACTGTAGCTAAAGGCTCTGCCTCCCATTCTACTTCTGTGGACTCTAGGAACCACAAGTAAACCTGCACTCTGAGAGTGAAGTGCTCTGTTGGGATGATAAGACTCTACGAGATCTTTAAGATACGATGGAGTGATTTAAAGAATATACCCTTTATTAACATGCTAACTTTTGCTAATTACTAAACATGCAAAATACAGTTGAGGTTGATGGGAATGCAATTTGTTTTGCAGGTACCTTGTCATAAACCAAAGTACTGGTGAACTTAAACAGTCAGATCACCTGGGTGTTACAGTCCAACTGTCAAGATATTTCACACAAAACCATAAATGTCAACCTCATGCTGATGCTAAATGAAATGGTAGGGCCTCACCACAATGAGCATCATCTGGGAACCAAGAATGTCTGCGCAGAATTCTGTCTCAATGAATTCTGTAAAAAATCTGACTTGCCCATGGAACCACAGGAAAAGTAATTTGAACACTAGAGACACTGATCCTCGGGACACCATGGATTTATGAACCAAATTTTACTAAAAACAATGTTAACCTCATGGGGACACTAGAAGAAAAGTCCTAGATCACCAAGGTTCACACAGGAGTTGAGCTATTTCCGTCTGGACCAAAGTGGTGGACAGACAGACTGACATTGCCATCTGTACGCTCATACCGCTAGTGTTGTTAAAACTATTCACAAACCTCATTTTCCATTTGGCTTCTGTTCCTAAGCCAATGTTTCACTCAGTTTTCTCTCATTTCATTGATTCTGTTCACCCACACTTTCTCTCTCTTATTGTCAACCGTGAACATTGTTTAGAAGACAATGCCCTCTGATTCCTTCTTTAATAAAAGCCAGTTTTCGGTTTCTTTTAGAGGGTGAACATGACCGTTTGTGTCACCCTTTTCAGGGTGAGAAGAGAGAAAGTGGTGCCCAGCAGGTTCTCCCTTGCAGTTTAATTGTAAGTTGGTCTAATTGAGGTGTCAGCCGACAAGTTGAAGAGAAGAATTGTAATGGACTACCCCACCCCTCTGCCTTCTAGTCCAATCCCTGTCAACCAAATGTAGCCCAAATCTTTAGTACTTGCGCTTCACTGGCATGACAAAGTTACATTCTTGTTGTGGAAGCAAACACACTGTACAGTATACAGGACAACAATGAAAGAATATGACAGCAGTGGCCCCTCTAATACTGTAAGGCTGTGGCCACTTGTGTTTCCTTTATCTAAGAGACACGCTGCCCCAAATATTGTTAGTAAATAAAGGGGTCTGTAGGGGTCAGCACTAGTGCTTGTGGACGGGATAGAGTCATTCTGGGGGGATGTAAATGTGTCTAACACAACTACCCCAAAGATCAACCCACTTACTCTGTGCCATCTGCATTAAGTTTATTTCAGTGCTGCAGTGTCACATAGAGACAATTACCCTCATTCTTAACATGGCAGATAATGACAGATAATGCAATGAACATGCAAAACAAATAATGGAGAATGTCTTGTTTATTGGTTGTACAAGGCAAAGCATCACATATTTACAGAAAGCTTTCATTTTTACCTCATCAAAGCTTGACCAAGGCTAAAAGCCATCGAGCAGTTTCTGACGTGTTCATTGTACAGTGTCAGTGACTCTTACTCTTCCGAGCCATGGCCTCGATCTGTAGGTATGCTTCAAGCAAACCGATTGTTTGTGCTTAGACAGAACAAAAAGGGTATCTACAGCACCACTGGTGGTCAAAACTACACATGGTGCCTTTAATTCAAAGGTTGCAGATCTATACAATCAGGTCATCTACTGTACAACAGAGCACCCTGTTCTTCAGTGACCAATTGTTTAAATGCCTGTGGGGAGCTCAGCCAACTTGGCTGTACTGTCTGTAGTCATATCCCTCCTCCCTGTACCTCAGTGTCGCTCTGTCCAGTGGTTTGGATTTAAGATGTCTATTCTTTTGCCAAGTGTATTTTGCAGATCCAGGGGAAAAGTAGTGTTACATTGGGTATCATGTCTTCCAGTGCTGTAGAAGACAACAAAACTGTGTGATAATGTTTGTGTAGAAACAGGTAACAATGAG